CATATGTCTATGACTTAAAACATGGTTTAAGTCATGGCTGTTGTCCTTGTATTTCTTTTTTCAGCCAGAAATACACCTTTAGAACTGAGTTTGATTGCCATAGGTTATGTTTGCCCAAACCTGGCCCAAACCTCAAAAACTGTTCCCTGTGGCTATTTTGTTTTACCATATATATGTTTCACCATACCATAACATTGTTTTACCACATATGTTTACCATACCATGCTGAGGGTGGGTGGGGTAGGGGGACACAACTGTAAATGTCTTTTAGAAACAAAAAAATAGTTTTCGAAAAATGCCAGACCTAACAAGCCCCTCTGCAAATGATTCTCTTGATGATGATATTTTTCCTTCAGAAAGTTGATTTCCTCCATATATATAAGAAAAATAAAAGATCTAAAAATTATCCTTTTAATTAGCAATGTGGTTAGTTTCTATTTCAAAAGTCTGCCCTGGTTTATGTCCTGATCACAGGAAAACTCTCTTATTCCAGGCCTTTGGGAAGAAACACTTCCTTCTCCCTCATTTCCCGTTTTCTCTTTTCATTGTTTCTTTGGCTCCGTAGCAGTGGTGTTTGTGACTGTGCTCACACTGTGGATCTTTAAAAATGAAGGGACATGGGACCCAAATGATGTCAAAGAATTGAGAAGCTTAATATTATAAAGGAGAGTCAAGAGGAAAGAGGCATATTAAATGCAATAAACAAAACATTCACTTCACCATACTACCACATTTGCCACAAGGGACTTCAGCAATAACTATAGCATGAATCGCTACATTTTTTTTTTTTACAAAATAAGCTTTTATTCCTCCAGAAACATAATAAAGGAAGGGTAAAGCCCTGACCCAGTTGTTTTTCTGCAAAGTAGACTTTAAATGAGTCTTTTCTATGGCAATTTTATGGATCTTTCAAGCAATCACACTTTGTTTACTTTCGTTTTTATTATGAAAGAAATTCATTCTTCTTTCAAAAAGTACTCCCAAGTATAAAGAGAACACATAGATCATGAATAATTCCATTTCCCAGAGAAAAGTACTTTTAATATTTGGTATGTATCCTTACAGATTTTTCTTCTATAAATATATGTCAAATAACTATAAATTTTCAAAGAGAAGCATGCAGTTATTCTCCAAAAGGCCTTTGTTCTTACTTTCCTGCCTCATGAATTCCAGCCCCTCATCCTCTGGCATCTATCTACAGCTTTCCTTTCTTCACTAGCTCCTTTTTGAACTATAAATGTACTCAGTACCTTTACACAAGGGAGGGGGGAACTGTAATTTTCCCAGTATTCTTTCCCTCTATTTTTGTCTTTCCACTCATCTTCCTTCCCACCCTTTTTAAAAAAAATTTTAAATGTTTATTTATTTTTGAGAGAAAGAGAGAGCGTGAACACCAGCTGGGGAGGGGCAGAGAGAGGGAGACAGAATCCGAAGCAGCCTCCAGGCTCTGAACTGTCAGCACAGGACTTGGGGCCGAACCCACGAACCATGAGATCATGACCTGAGCCAAAGTGGGACGCTTAACCTACTGAGCCACCCAGACCTCCCCTGCCACCCTTTTTAAAAACTGTGGTAGAGGGGCGCCTGAGTGGCTTAGTCGGTTAAGCGTCCGACTTTCGCTTAGGTCATGATCTCGCGGTTTGTGGGTTTGAGCCCCGTGTCGGGCTCTGTGCCGACTGCCAGCTCAGAGCCTGGAGCCTGTTTCAGTCTGTGACTCCCTCTCTCTCTGACCCTCCCCTGCTCACTCTTACTCTCTCCTAGAAATAATAAATTAAAAAAAATTATTTAAAAAAAAAAACTGTGGTAGAATACTTAACATCTACTATCTTAATAAATTCTTCCCTTTCTCTTTTCATTCAAGCTTTTCTAAGGGAAAATAAGTTCCTTTCTCCATATCTGTACTCCCTGACTACCAGTGCAGTCACTAATTTACTCTCTCTTGGTTCCGAGGCATTCTTCTCTCCCTAAGGTCCTAGCTGACTTCTAGAATGTCCAATACAATGAGAGTGTGCCGTATACATCCTTTCTTAACCATTCATCAGCGTCTGACGCTGTCTAGCGCTCTTTCCTTGACCTTGTCCTCCTGGTTCTCCCACACGCAGGAGCACTCCTATTCAGCCTCCTTCACTGAGTTCTTTTCTTTTCTTATTCTGGTTCTTTAAACATAATAATTCCCCAGGACTCTGGCCTTAGTCCTTATCTCTTTTGCTTTCTTTTTTAGTGAGCTCATCCACTCCTGCAATTTGAGTTATCCCCAGCGATCCATATGTCCTGCCCTTATCTCTCTTCTTAGATAGAGATCTGTGTATCCAAGTGACTGACCGACTGGATCTTTCCACCTGGATGAACTTTCCTAAGACATTACAGTCAACACATACCTTTTCAGCACATCATTTCTTTTCCCAATCCTCCTCCCTCTCACGGAGACCCTATTCAGTTGGTGGCAACACCATTTAATAGCTGTAATAGGGTAAATAACAGCAGAGACATTTTTTTAATGCCACAAATTTGACCATTGAAAAAAGTAATATTTACATTTATTTTGACATCTGCAATCACAGATTGCACTGGGAGCTAATTCATACTATTAGGTCTAGAAATGGACTGTTTGAGTATTTGATAATTAGAAGTCCATTGGTGATTGTGAATACAATTACTGTAAATTGCAACCTGATTGTAATTGGTTTAAAAGTGAAGAAAAAGGAAGGAGCTGTTGCCAGTGAGCCGACCACTCTTTCAAGTTTGACAGTGGAGAGATAAGAGAGATTGAATAAATGTCTTTAGGGGAAAGGAGATGTGAGGAAGTTGTCTTTTAGAACAAGGAGAACAATTTTGCTGGCTGTGGGAAGAAGGTGGTGGAGAAGAAAGGATAGAAGATGGGGATAATAGGAAGATAAGAATTGAATACCGTCAACCATAAAAAAAAAGAGAGAGAGAGAGTAGGGAGGTCCTTGTTTCTTTTGTCTATATTATATACTTTTCATGTAACATTTGCTTTACTAAATTCGGGTCTATTATCTGTCAGTAAATAAATACTGGTAAAAATATTTTTAAATATTTATAGGTGACTTTTTAAAGTTTTTATTTAAATTCCAGTTCATTAACATACAGTGTAATATTAATTTCAGGTGTACAATTTAGTGATTCAGTACTTTTATACTCGACACAAGTGTATTCCTTCATCCCCATCACCTATTTAACCCGTCTCCTCACCCACCTCCCCTCTGGTAACCATCAGTTTGTTCTCTATAGTTATGAGTCTGTTTTTTGGTTTGCCTCTCTCTCTTCCCTCCCCCCCACCCCACATGCTCATTTGTCTTGTTTTTTAAATTCCACATATGAGTGAAATCATATGATATTTGTCTTTCTCTGACTTATTTCATTTAGCAGAATACTCTCTAGCTCCATCCACAACATTGCAAATGGAAATATTTCATTCTTTTTGATGGCTGAGTAATTTTCCATTATATATATAATATATGTATACGTATAATTTATCCAGTCATCATTTGATGGATATTTGGGCCCTTTCCATAATTTGGCTATTGTTAATAATGCTGCAATAAACATTGGCATACATGTATCCTTCAAATCAATATTTTTGTATCCTTTGAGTAGATACCTAGTAGTGCAATAGTGCAATTGCTGGATTGTAGGGTAGTTCCTGAGCAGCTGCACCCATTTGCATTTTTATATGCAATCTTTAACCTTTACATTTACTTACATTATTATTCTGTAGTCAGGTAAAAATTGCAGTTGAGGCTAATTTCCACAATTAATGAATTAATGTGTTTCTTTTCCTTTTCAAAGCTTCCTTCATGTATTTCATCCCTAATAAGTATGAAGAATCCTTTTAATTCGGCCCATGTCTTTCGGCTAAAACTCTTACTTTTTAATAAACTCCTATTCTAAAATTAATATAGACAGTTTCATTTTTCAGGTCTCTATCCCATCAGGTTTTGTTGTTTTGCTTTTTTTGTTGTTATTTTTGTTTTGTTGTTACTTACTTACAAAATTTTATTACATAATGCATCCTACATCTGTGGGCATGTACTGTTTTTCTATACAGTTTCCAAGTTTTATGGTTTATCTAATTCAAGTGAGTAATCCCACCTTTCTGTTCTACTTTTGTGGATGAGAGAATGAAAGGGTGGGAAGCAGGAAGTAGATAAGGTTAAGGAGAGATGGTGGAACGTCTACAGAAAGGAAAGTTGACCAGTTAGACTCAAATTCTTAAGGAAACTATAGCCCTGATTCAAAGGTATTAATAACTTATCAGTGCTAACAAATAACTAGGCAATTCTCCTTGCAGTTACTCAGAAAGGATTTAGAATGCCGTGGGGAAGATGCGAGATGCTGCATTTGGGGTTTGGCATTGGACACTTAGCCAATGTCAAAGGAGTTAAAAGGAGTGAGGCATTCTCAGCAAATGACTATTTTCTTTCTCTCTTTCCTCACTTTTGCAATCTCAAAGTCCTCATCATTTTAGCTCCACAGCACTGATGCTCCTTTCTCAGCTGCACAGAATCTACTATCAGCAGGCAGTTTGCTAAGGTTGTGGTGGAGAGGGCCTGACCTTATTGCTTCAGTTGAAATCCTCAGCTCCAGTGTCTGCCAGGGGAGGTGGGAGGGGCACAGGAAGTGACTACCCTCCGGCTTCTCCTCCCACAGAAGTCCTGCCTCCTCACGCTTGGACAGTAGAGAGGTTAGCTTTCTTTCTCCTTCTAGTTCAGCCCTTTGGCTAATGTGAAAGACCACGCAGAAGCTTTGGAGTTGCTTTTTGTGCTTGGAAAAAGTGCATAGATAGAAGACAGGGATTCCTGGCTGGGAGGAGGGAGGAGAGCTGAAGATCTCTGCCTGGGCTGGCTGAGCTAAGCAGTCAAAGTGGGAAGCTGAGTGCTTGAAAGAGGATTATGCTCGCACTAGAAATAAGCAGTAAGTGAGCGAATAACCATTATGGCTTAGAAAAGGATTGATCCCCCTGGGGTCATGGGGTGAACTAGAAAATATTGCTTAACTCTCGAGTAAAACTGTAAGACTTCTGACTCTGTGTACAGTTGTGTGCTGTTTGGAGAGTAGGGGCTTAAATGCAAAATCAGAGCTCTAAATGCCTCCCCCCACTCTTGGAAAATGCGAACTTCTACTTAGAATAGTTGTGGATATAATCTCCTTCCCTGACCTAGCCTCTTCCTGGGAAAATATATTCCCAAATCAGAAAGGAAGTTGGGATTAAATTGGAAAGGTGGAATTTGGTAGTGGTAGAATTGCAATCTTGGATTATGTTCGGTGAATGCTGACATTGTTATGTCAATTATCAGTGATTTGTTAATCACAAGAAAGTCTGAAAGTGGGGCAATTTCCCCTAAAAAGGGGAAATTGAGAGCTTTTATGACAAAGAGGCTGAATAGTCTATATGTGTAGGATGAAATATAAAAATGTATATAATTAATAATATGTGTGGTAGTTTTAAGAAGTATTCTAGTAACCTAGAACAGCAGTCAGGAAACCTAGAAGCGCTAGGATAAAAATTAATTAGAAAAGAAGAAATTTTAGTTTCAATGACTTTTTGTGCTAGCCAAAAATTTCACAGTGTTTACAAAGTCAAGACAATGATTCAGGGATCCTTCGATTATCGTCATACATTATAAATACTGTTGCTGGGCAAGATCTGTGGTTCTTTGGTCAGCAAGGTCTGGCAATGAAACCACTGTCTCTGGTGCAAAGAATTCTGGGATGCCTGACAGTGCAATGGATGGAAGGACCCACATTCCAACTCTACTTAATGTCCTTTTGTCCAGAAATCGGGTCATGCAAATGAGCTACTTGGTACGTATATAGATCAATATTCCGAAAGGCATTTCTAAATGTTTTGCATTAGAAGGTCTCTGGACAATATCTTATGGCAACCAGTAGCCTAAAAGGATACAAAAACAAAGTGATAGGAAGGAAGTCAGCTTGATTGAAACCAAACCTGTTCTTTTTGTTTTCCATCAGTCCTGAAATGGAACCTCAAATGAGAAGAAGAATAATAGAGAGAAATACTGTGGCCATCTGGTCTGTTCTAAGTGGCTAAAGTCATTAATATATGAATGAGAATTCAGATTTTATTTGTGCATCCTAATACTTGAAGATTCAGAAATCTCTTTATTACAGAAAAACCCGTGAAAATAGGAAGCATGTTTACTGAGAAGGAAGGGGAAAAAATAGACAAGAATTGTATCCCACGGTGTAAAGAAGATTTACATCATGTTCACTGAAGGATATAGTTCTTCCCTCAATGAAATGGGGATCCTAATATGACACGATAGATGCCAACACAAATATTTTTAGTTCTCTTAATTCTGCAGTTAATGCCTAAAGAGAAGATTTTTAAAAATAATAATAACATCGAACTACAGCTAACTATGTAGTGAGTTTTATTTTCCTTTCCTTATTGGTCCCCTACAGAGGTACTATGATTTCTGAAATTATGAAGAAGCAATCCATCTTTTCTGGTATTCCTGTCAACAAGTGCATTGGGAGAAAGAAAAAAAAAGACTCAGCCATATTATCTTTCTCCTGTAGCACAATAGTGAAATGGTTAAAATGATCTATGATATTTTCTAACTTTACAACTTTTGCTTTGGGGAAGAAAATTGGGGACTGGTCATGGGTGGGGGAGGGAAAAACAAAAATGCCAACAAAGTGCATTTTTAAAAAATGGTCCAACTTCTCAAACTACCTAATTTTGAAAATTATTTAACTCATCTTTTAAAAATTATTTCTGAGTTATTTTTTTCCAGTGTTAGTTTTCATCAGATTTATAAGAAAATGTAGAGAATCTGAAGATTTGTTATCTGAGTTGTATAATGTTTGTCCTATTCTTAAAAATATAAAAGGGGTTAAAATAAAACATGTAATCGTTGAAGTCTTAAGCATAGTGTAATTACTAAATGCAGTTTCAGTCTTTAGTAAAAATGTACTGGGACTCTTAAAGGAATTTTTTATCTATCTCAAATTACTAAAGAATCTGCTTTGAAACTACAAAATTGAAAAAAAGTAACAATATTCAGAAAAGGATTAAAGGTGTAATTTGGATGGGAGAGGCTAGGCAGAAATACTTGATGAGTAAATATAAGCCTGAAGTCTGAAAATAAAAACATTTTCTATTGTCCATGAGAGATTGACATAAAGAACGATGTACTTTGACTAGTGAACAAAGCTAAGTATTTAAAAAGTATTAAGTGGGAATTAACATTATTAATGGAAAGAAACTAAATGATCATTTAAAATTATTCTTTCACAAGAAAAGTAAAGAAAAAGGATATGGAAAACTAAGCAGTGATGAAGACCTCGAAATAATTGTTGATCAAAAGCAGGTAAGTGAATGCTTACATACATTTTCTACTGTTGCACTATAGATCTTTGACAAGTGAGGCCCTTTGATTGTTTGGTCCTGCCCTGGTGCCTGTATCAGCCTATCCAACTAAGGCCTGCTTAACAAGATAGATTTTGAGAGCAGCTAAGCCTCTCCATATGATCCCTTCGATCCACTGACTTCTATATGATGTCAACATGCATGTTCTATATGTAAAGACAATGAAAAAATAAAGCAGAACAAAATAAGAGAACTTTTAGAAAATTACATGCCCCCGTGAAAAATGAATCAATACAGCAATGATAATTTGGTGGGAGAAAAAAATTAAACAAGAATCAGAAATTGTGCTATTTTGAAAGTGAGAAAGCTAACATTAGTGCAAAACAATGAATATGTTTTAAGGGAAAGGGGGTAAAAGACTAAAAATACTGGGAAGTTGAAAACATATATATTGCCCAAATTACTTTATCAGAATCTCTGCAATAAATTTAGAGGTTTTTTTTTTTTTAAATAAAAAGAAGAAGCTACTTAATATTCTTTAATACTGCCTGTGATTTTAAAAACATCTAGCTTGGATTTTATATGGGACCATAAGGTGGAATGAGAGCTGCTTAATAGACCATAAACAATGACATACCAGGTAATGGAAGGTTTCCAACTAACGCCACTGAATTGGCATTGGCCCTTAATGTCTCTGTTAATTATTGAGGAGACAAGATAACTGCACATCTATTTAATGTGTAAGTGGCACTGATTCTGAGGGTTATGTAACCTCAGGTGGAGACTGAGAAATAATTCAAAGGAGTCTGCGTAGATGAAAAGGTTAGAAAGAAAGTAGTCAGCAAGTTACAGGAAGACAAGTTGCATTTGGACAGTTTCCTAATTGTGCAGTTTGTTTTGCGTCATGACAGTTGCATTAAAGGAGCCATTGTGTATATTTCTGAAAAAAAGAAAAATGGCCACCAGACGAGAGCAACCAGAAGCAGTTGAGTTAGAGACCTGCTTCTTAGGTCTGGAATACTTGAGGTAACTGAAATGGTCTTCTGGGGGAAAATCCTCCAAAAAAAAGCATCTTGCCAGAGGTGCAGAATATTTTGATCTTACAGGGTTCACTCAAACTGCCTTTGAATTCTTTTCTCTTGCCTTATCTTTACTCTCTTGCTCTTGAGTAAATTGGGGGACAGGGAGCAGAGGTTGGTACAAATTTGGCTCTGTATTGCTACTTACTGCCAAATTGTCAGTTTAGTTAATAGGATGAGTGTGGCTGGAGCTCGAGTGCTCTGATGGGCTATTAGGCTAGCATTTTAACTATGCCAGATTAATTACTTGGGGCACATGATCTCCGTCTCCCACAGATCCTATCCCTAGACTGACATTCTCATTGAAGGACTGGCAAATGAACTAATAAAATACAATTGAGCATGTTATGAGAACACACATACCTATCCATTTCTCTATTGAAATGAACAGTAAGGTTTTTTAAATTTCTTCCTTAATCATATATAAGTCAAATGTCTATTTTTTTGTACTCTCTTAGTATCATCGTACCCTCAAAGGCTGCTTTTCTTTTTTCTTTCTTTCTTTCTTTCTTTCTTTCTTTCTTTCTTTCTTTCTTTCTTCCACCTTAAACTTTTTTGTTTGTTTTAACTAAATTTTGGGATTCAGAAAACCATACAAGTATACATTGAGATCTTTGGAGTGGAAAGCCCAAGGGAGTCATTGTTCTTTTTTTCTCATGGTAGCTTTCACAACATTTATGCTGTTGTCCCTAAACACATTTTATTAATTGTTAAGAGAACCGACTTTCCTTCTGTCTCAGAAAATAATCCTTTTTTACCTGGATCAAATGAGGGAGGGTCTGATTTGCTTGGTCATCGTTTGCCTCTGTAGTTACTATGTTTTTTCCAGTGCCATTGCACCAGTTGGAACCAGTTGGCAGTGACCCAGCTCTGCTGAGTCATTCATGTCAAAACACATTTTAAAAGACGAGTAATTATGAATATGAGTTGGCTTTCATGCTTGCCATTGGCAGTAAGACTAGTCCTTCTTTTTGGAGAAGGTTTACTTGGTGGTGGTGTTGTGAGCAAATCCTAAATTGAAACAATGACAATGTTGATACCTTGAAGTAAAATATTTAGGAAAACACTCAAATTAATCTTTATAATACTACCAAAAATTCTTTCTACACTTAAGAGATCAACATTAAAAGTGTGTATGTGTGTAAAACACATTTGTTTAATATTGCTTCGTCTCATAGATATTATATATTTGGGAAGAAATCCTTCTGCTCAGTTTATTCTTCCTATAACTTTTCACAAACATAGTAGATATTTTTGTTAGTCAATCTTCATATAACTGCCAAAAGGAAATCTAGAGAAGATAAATAAAATAGTTGGAGTGCTGTGCTGGGCAGAAGTCTACTAATCTCATTAAATCTGTCATTCAGAAGCTGTTGCTCTACAAATGCTGTGCAAGCTATATGCTGTTTTATCAGTCATGTGATTTGCAAGACTTGTACTTCCACAAAAAGTTCACAATTTTGCTTATATAAGCAAATTAATAACAGTAGTAGCACAGAGTATGTGGATTTTGTTCTCCCTGGCTGCCTCCATTCAAGGGGGTAAAAGGTGATTTTTGTTATTTCTACATGAGAAAAAGTGATTTTGGAAATGTGTACGGTTTTATTCTTAAATAAGGCAATATTGTGCTTTTCTCTTTGTGAAATTTTATTGGGAAAATTTATTGGAGAGGCATATGAAAATATTCTGAAGAATTCTTAGATTAGTGCTAATGTCCTAAAGTAACAGGTGACATATATAATCACACATATACACACACATATATAGTCATTTAAATATAAATATATGACACTGGCATTGGAGTCCATATTTTCCACCAGAAATCCCTAGAGTTTTCAAACTTCAAGCATAGAAAGGCAATCAAAGGAACCATATTTGATTAAAATCTTAATGGTTCTAAACCCCAGACATTTCATATAAATATATATGTATTGTATTATTTATATATTCTGTAATACAATTATTAAATTATTACATATAATTATAACAAGTATATATAGTTAATAAATTACATAGTTGGCTTTCTAGAATAAATATTAAAAGAGAAATTTTAAATGTATATTTTGGATCATTTTTATTATTCTTATAATACTCTTTCCCAATTGGAGGAAAGTAAATCTTGTTTAGAAATAGATTTCATGTACAAATTAATTTCCTTTTGAAGTTACTGAGATTTTAGGGATGGGAATGAAGAGCGGATGGTTAAGTACCTTGAGTAAGGGATTAAAAACATTATCTACTTTAAATAAATAACAAATTTATTTTATTTTAAATTGCTGTTTTTGATTAGAATAGAGCCACCTTCATTCAAAGTTTATGACATTCTGGACCAAGATGACTTTTCTTCTAAAATGTTTTCAAATTCCAAGTTAACTTAAAGGATATAACAAAAAGTACCACAAAAAGTATAGAATTTATGATTATATGCAGGATACACTCACAGGCTCAAACGTTTCAAGAATGGTTTTAACAATATGTCATGGGTCCAGGTGTTTATCGGACTCAGAATTGCAGTTGCCTATCCTTCAGTGCAGTAAGGTGGGGAAATGTCAAATATCAGCCAGTTACAAGGGGAACAATTGTACAGAGATCAGAGCAGTGGTTCTCAAATCTTAGCAGCCTCAGAATCCCCTGGAGGGCTTGTTGAAACACAGGCTTTTGTGCAGGGGTGGGAGGTGGGGGGCATCCCCAGAGTTTCTGATTGTATAGGTAAAGGGTAGGACCAAGAATTTGCATTTCTGTCCTTAGCTCCCACTGCTGGTCCTAGACTATGCTTTGAGAACAAGTGGACCAGAGGAAGTTATTATTATAGTTCTAAAGGGAAAAAATAGTTATACACAACTTGTGATAAATTTGACATTTTCAACTGAGCATTACCTGGGTATCTAACAACTAGAATTCATAGATATCCAACATAATGATGCTGAAAACAAGAAAACCACAGCCATTTATACCCAAAGGTGCTTTTAAGACCCAGGCTTATAGTTTGACTAAATTCCATCCAACCGCCTTGTGATCTTGAATTGGTTTGAGGTAGTTATTTATTTGTCAAATATTATTCTGCTCTTACCATCTCTTAGAGTTTCTTTGAGAAGATAAAATCTATAAAAGTGCTTTTTAAACTGTAAATCATTAGGCCATTTTAATTAACTAGTGGTTACCACTGTATTAGTCTGCTTCACCTGTTACATGAATTACCATAGACTGGATGGCTTAAACAACAGACATTTATTTCTCACAATTCTGGAGGCTGGGGAGTCCAAAGATCAAGGTGCTGGTATGGTCAGTTTCTGGTGAAAGCTCTCTTCCCAGCTTATAGATAGCTGCCTTCTCACTGTGTTTTCATATGGCAAGGAGAAAGAGTTCTGGAGTCTCTTCCTCTTATTAGGGCCCTATCCTTATCAACTCATTTTACCTTTACTGCTTCTCATAGGCTCTATCTCCAAATATAGTCACATTGGGCTTTAGGGCTTCAACATATGAATTTGTGGGGAGGGACACAAACATTCAGTCCCTACTTCCCCACAGCCCCAATTTAGCAATGAGGACTATTGAGAACTAGAAAGGTGAATCAAGTTGCCCTGAGTCCTGATTCGGCACAGAGAGAGCACTGGAAGCCAGCCCTCCCTTCTGACAGTCCAATACTTTTTCTGTCACACCACATAGCTCTCTACAGTTGCCCATTACTGTCATCCCATAGGTGAGTCTTAAGAAGCTATTTTGCTCCAGTGTTCTAATTACATAAAATAACCAAATACTAGGAAGTATCATAATTGGCCAATATTTATTTATTGAACCCTCATAGGGATAACCTTTTCCATAAACACTCCTTAACTGTTTACTTCCCTCTTGTCCCCTATGGCTCTGTTGGAAGAGACATGCTCTTCAAAGTAAGTATACAGAGGTAGAGCTAAAAGGTTGT